GCAAGGTCAGCGACAGTGGGGAAAGCGGAAAGGTCAGGGAATAGCATGGGGAGGATCAAGCGGCCAGCGGAGGCGGAAGCAGGGGTGGAGTAGCGCGCAACTACTGCATCTAGGAAGTCCTTGGCGTTCGCGACAGCAGTGAAGTGCGGACACTCAGACAGAGGAAGCGCATGACTAATTGCGAGTTGCGCTACAGCATCGCGAGAATTCCTGACAGTGCGAGCGAGCGCAGCAGCAGCAAAGGCCTCACTCTCAGCAGTGGTGGGGTCAGCAGAGAGGGGATCAAGCACGGGGGGGCGGGGAAGCAAGCCATCAACATGCATAGCCAGGGAGTGCCCATCCTGGCGCTGACCTTTCAAGTGTCGTCGGAGATCGACAAGCCAGGCGGCGAAGTCGATCGCGTGCCCCTCCACGTCTAGGCGAAGTATGGCGTCAGCCATCGCACAGCCTCAGCGGCATAGGTCCACAACGGTACAGCGTTACGGCTGCACAGCGTCACGGGGACACGGCGGCATAGCGACACAGGTGCTCAGTGGCATGGTGGCAAGGCTCTCCGGCTGGGAAACCGGGCGGGAGGCCGAGGAGGGCTGGGCGCGAGGGGTCGGCTACGGCGCGAGAGGGGCCAGCTGGTCCCGAGGGGCCAGCTGGGCGCGAGGGGCCGGCTAGGCGCGAGGGGCCGGCTACTGCACGAGAGGGGACGGCTGGGCTCGAGGGGCCGGCTCGGCGCGAGGGGCCGGCTACGGCGCAAGAGGGGCCAGCTGGGCACGAGGGGCCAGCTGGGCGCGAGGGGCCGGCTACGGCGCGAGAGGGGATGGCTGGGCGCGAGGGGCCGGCTAGGCGCGAGGGGCCGGCTACGGTGCGAGAGGGGCCGGCTGGTCGCGAGGGGACGGCGGGCACGCTAGGGGCCCGCGGACACGCAGGGGGCCGGCGAGGCACGGTAGGCTAGGGCGAGGGGCGGAAGCGGATGGGCGGACCTAACCTACTCATGATACCATGTTAGAATACTAGAATTATTTGAAAGAAGAGAGAACAAGGGAGATATAGGGTTGGAGTTGTTCCTTCTAAGAACATAAACCTATCTAGCCTATAACTTATACATACAAACATATGTATAAGTTGACAAACGACACGTGGGTGCCCTCGGACCAAATACAGTCACATTCGATACTTGCGAATTTCTTGGCCCGCAAGCACGTGGCTGATATAGATCACCTTCGCTAAGGGGGGGGGGGGGGTGGTGTAAGGAATTTTCCATTCCTTACCGAGCGGTACTGCTATCGCGTACACTCGAACACACCCGAATCCTCGGGACGGGTCTGAAGCTTTCTGACAGAACCACCTCGGCTTCTCCAGACCTTCTAGCTCGACCTTCGGGAGTTCTCCGGGCCTCGCTTCGTCACTCGAGACCCTTCGATCTCCTTCCCGAACCTTCACATCTCATGGTTAGACTAGCTCTGGCGTTCCTATATCTTGGCTTGCCATTCCTTGTATCGTCTTTCAGAGATTCAACACTTTGTTATTCATTTCCGCGCTACTCTGCTTGTTCATTCATAACAGTCTTGAACAAACACTTCTACACGGGGAAGAGCAGTTCACGTCAATGTTACTGTTCACCCGAGAACACTATTCATCTTGCTGCCCCAGAAAGTGAAACCAATTGTACAGTACAGGTCATATTCCCTTAGCAGTCGGGGGCCGACTCGGCAGATTTCCCTTTTAACGAATATTGGCCGTACGGTAGGGGCAACGTGGACTATGGGGTTCTCCCAGGAAATGGGGCGTTGTTTTTTGTGTACTGCGCATGGGTGGCTTGACTGGCGTATGCAGCGACTGAGGAAACATCGCCACGTCGCAATCCTCGTCATCTGTGTTTCAACTCCGCGTTTCAATTGATTTTCAGAATTGAATCCAAAGGTGGCAAGCATGGGCAGCAATCAAGCAAGAAACAGAATCGATTCGACAAAGATAGCACTCGACACTAGACTAGAGTCGAAATTATACACCAGCAGAAACCAAATGCTTACGACGGCTGACAGTGCCCAACTTTTTGCTGCGCAGCACAGCCCACGCGCCGCTACGGTCATAGGCAAAGCACATGCCTTCTTGCGCCTTCACATACACGCTCTACGACATCGTCTCGTAAGACCGAAGTGCATCATCAATCGCCTAGAACCCGCGATATGTAGCCGGCTGGGCGCCAAATGTCATACACTCGCCCGCGTCGGGATATCCGGTCATAATCGCCGTGGCTCCGCGAACATGAGTGAGGTACTCTGCCTCCGCGGCGCCGGGCGCATTGTTAGTGTCCAGGCGGAGGGATGCGCGCTCCAAGCGATCAATAACCGCAGGTTCGCGGATGTCGAAAAGCACCCGGAGATCGCGCGGAGCCAGGCCAATGGACTTGGCGTAGCCGATAAGCATCTCTGTCGCCATGCGCGACAGATTGCGCCGGTTTCGCGCTGAGTCGTTCAGAGCCGGGGGGGGAGGCGCGTTCGCCCACCACGAATCCCGCTGGGCCGGGCCAAGCGGCTCTACATCAAGGGGATCCACCCCGCTTGGGTCGCTCGTCTCGTCGTCACGCTCGGCGGTGACGAATCGAGCAGCGGAACTCATGTCGCCCGGGCCGAATGGCAGGGCCAGCATGATTTGCTGCACCGGCTCGATCTCTGACTCCAGCTGCGGCTCCTGCTCTACAGAAGTGGCGCCAAGGAGCGGTAGCAGCGGCTGCCAGGTGGCGGGCAGCATTCGCGTCCACCAGAAGCACTTCTGGATGGTTGCGGTGTCCAAACCAAGAAACGCATCCGACACCCATGTCACCACCTGCCACATCTCGGGCTTCCACTTCAAAACAGCGGCGACGGTGATGCCCGGGATCTGCCACTGTGCGAGAATTGCCTTAAGTAGCTCCACTTTGTAACGTGCCTTCGTGGCGGCGATGAGGCCCTGGTCCAGAGGCTGAGTGAACGGGGTCGTGTTCGGCGGCAAGTACACGAGGCGTACGTGCGAGAGGGCGCGCGTCCGAAACCCGCAGACGTCGGTTGACGTCGCGAGAGGGGATTGGAGGAGGTGACTCGACGCGTTGTCGAGCATGATGACGATGCGGCGTCCTTTCGCCATGCAGCACGCATTAACGTGCTCGAAGAACGCCGTGAAAACCTGCGCGGGGCGTATGGGATATACTAATGTGTATCAGAGTGTTATTTGTATCACACGCCTCATATGTCATCGTTCATAATTGGACACGGTACATGCAGGCGACTGAAAGCGAGGCACATACCTCCGCCGTCATCCATCCGGAGGTGTTCGCGCGCCAGAAGCAGTACTTCGCAGGGTCGAATTGTTGCTTTGCGAAGCAATGGGGACGCTCATACTTGTGAATGATGAGCGGCTTGAAAAGTTTCGAGCCGTCCGCATTCACCAGCAGCGCGACTGTAAGCCGGTCCTTGCATACCTTCTTGCCCGGGGTAGGGTCGATGCAGAATGTGTGGTCGGGGAGGAGACTGTAGTAGACGCAGGTCTCGTCGAAGTTGAACAGGTTTTCCGGGGTCAGGCCAAGCTGGTCACACAGCCTCGGGAAGTGCAGTTGCGCGGTCAGAGCGGTGCCCTCGTCGGCAGACTTCGCTTCGCCGCTCATCTTTCGCCACTTGAATACCATTCGGCGTAGTGCTTTCTGAACCCATCCAACAGAAGCCTTAGTCGCTTGGCACGTTACACTCGGGTGCTAGCAGTATCGCGCGCTGCTGGATTACCCTTTTGAACTTGGCGCGTTCGGGTCCGATGGCCCGCCACTTCTGTTCGGTTTGCAGAACTCGCCCGACTGTGCTGCGATCCGGCCACAGACCGTATCTGGTGTGGCACCATCGCCCAATGTCTTCGAGCCGCAACGTCGGATTCTTCTTGGCGTATTGGCAGATTGCAACCTTCTGCCCGATGGCTAGCGCAACACGGCGTACAGATGCCATGTGGACGACTTTGTGGGTTTGGCGGGCTCGTTCCTTGTGTCGTGAAGAGGTCGCTGTTTGGGGCGTATAAATAACCCCGAGGTGTCGGAACTGTTGGCGGGGGGAACGACGTTGGGAGGGACCCCTCTGCAGCTTGCGTGGCGAGCTCGTATTGGCAGTGGGCGGACGGATTTTCCAGGGGCAACGCCGACGGATTCCGTTGGAATGGCTGGCGCAATATTACTGGACCGCCTACGAGCTGCTCGTCGAAAGCGCATCATGTCGATTCTTGCGTCGACATTGGTTGGCGAGCCTGACACCGCTGGATTTTTTTTGCTCGCCAACCACTAGGTGTGGTCGCTTTGGAAACACTAGAGCAATCCGATTGGACGCCCTTGGATTAGCCGATTTGACTGTCTATATTACTGTTAAGTTGAGACGGGTTCACTTTGCGTACAACGAGAGGCCCTTAAGGATAAATTACATATGGAATACTCCTGGGCGTAAAAGGGGGTCGTCTACAAGGCATATGATCTGTATAGGGCTGCTACGCAACCCAAAAAGGGTGGAGTTTTGATCCAGCCCTGCTTTTGACGCATTTTTAGAATATCGACATCCATCCATGAACAGACAAGCCGAAACAATTCAACGGCCAATATCCCTCTGCCCGCCACTGTGTCCGTGTCTTAAAATCCCTACACAGGCGTGCTCTTAACGAGTTATACAAGCTGTTGCATGGCACGTTTCCGCCAAATGTGTGTGTGGCAGAAACCCTCCATATCCCGAGCTGGCCGAGACTCTGGCCTGCAAAACAGTCCATCATTCGAGGGCTACCCAGCCTGGAATGAATTGGACCCGGGGTAACTCGGATTCTGCAGGCGGATCTGCTGCTTGCAGTGAAGTGATCTCTCCTCACCCTCCCTGCCTGACCGTTCCATGCCCCCGCTCTGCCATTCAGCGAGGAGTGTGCTTCGGTGGCCACATGCGGAAATCGGATCCACCCGATTCCCCCGAACTCAACACCTGCAGCACCGCGGCACAGATTGCAGCGCAGGGCTGATCACGTGGGACGTGATGACAAATCGGATCGCGGCATCTCTCCACCGCGCTCATCATCCGCCGCTGCGACCTGCCACCGCCTGCTTGGTGCTGGATTCAATGCCCGGCCTAAGCACAGCGCGCCACGTTGGCTTGGACGAAACAGCACGTTGCCACGGCATATGCTTGGCGGCATATGGACAGAGAGCTCACCTCGTTGCCGCGGTGGCAGCAGCCTGCTCGCTCGAGCAAGGAATTATCGCTCGCGGCATGGCTTCCTGAAGCACGACCACGACGCGTGCATATGAGCAGCATGGAGGCCATTCATGGCGTCGTGAAGCCGTAGATGTGGTGTTCCATCCGCCTTGCTGCTCTCCCAATCGACTCGCTACTTCCTCCCTCACCCTTTGCCCTCATCATCTCGCCATCGCGCCTCATGCCGTGCCACCACATGAAGCACCCCGCGCCCGCCGACCCACCGCGCACGGCGGGCGCTTCCAGTGGGAAGCGAGCGAGAAGCGCAGCTTCAGGGGGCTGTCTCCATAGCGGACTCGCCGCCGCCGCCACAGTCGACTGCGCCCCTCCTTGCCGCGCTGCAGCGGCGACTATCGCGATGCCCGACGAGTCCGCCGTGCCTCACGCCGCATCGCGCGCTCACATCGCGACCAACCGCCGTTGCATGATGCCTGCCGTCCTGCCTCCTCCGACCTCTTGCCCTACGCCGCGATTCACGGCAGCAGGCTGCACGCCGGTGGAGGGTGGCGCGGGGCGCACGGGCAGCGCCCGTGGAGGCAGACGCGGCGGCGACGACGCTGCGAGCGCCACCCTGCCAGCGGACTGTTCGCAGCAACGGCGGCGGTCGTTGGGCGAGGTGGGCGACGACCTGCTGCTCAAAATCATCCTCTGCTCGCACCCCACCGCCTGGGACCTCTGCCGCCTCGCGTGCGTCGCGCGCGCCTGGAAGGCGCTGTGCTACTCCGCGCCCTTCTGGCAGCGGCTGCGCGTGGGACCGGGCAGCATCCGACCAGGTGTGCACCGTACAGTTCAGGAGCGCCCATCCCAATACTCCATGGAATCACTCCCCACCTTGCAGTTCTGCCCCGCCTGCTCCTCCAACTCCCACTAATACTCATCCCTCCTTCCCCCCCCACCCACGGGTGAACGTGATGGTGTGCGCGGCCACAAGCGCAGGTGTGGAGCAGGTGGCGCGGTGCACGTGGACGACCCGCTGTGCCACGCGCACCTGCTGCACCCCATCATCGTCGCCGCACAGCACTCCCTCCGCCGCCTCGTCCTTCACTGCGACCCGCCCACGCCCCCCACCCCCGCTGTGCTGCTGCCGGAGATGGCAGTGCCGCACCTCAGGGGGGCAGGCAGGGGGCGCGGCAGGGAGGAGGCGGTGGAGAGGGCGGTGGAGGGGGCGGTGGAGGGGGCGGTGGAGGGTGCGTATGCAGTGGGCGCGGACGACCTCAGAGAGGCCTCCGTCTGCAGCCTACTCTGGGTACTCAGGTGGGCGGCATACTCCCGGTGCTCAGGTGGGCGGCATACTCCCGGTGCTCAGGTGGGCGGCACACTCCCGGTGCTCAGGTGGGCGGCATACTCCCGGTGCTCAGGTGGGCGGCATACTCCCGGTACTCAGGTGGGCGGCATACTCCCGGTACTCAGGTGGGCGGCATACTCCCGGTACTCAGGTGGGCGGCATACTCCCGGTGCTCAGGTGGGCGGCATACTCCCGGTGCTCAGGTGGGCGGCATACTCCCGGTGCTCAGGTGGGCGGCATACTCCCGGTACTCAGGTGGGCGGCATACTCCCGGTGCTCAGGTGGGCGGCATACTCCCGGTGCTCAGGTGGGCGGCATAGCTTAGACTGAGGCTCTCGGCACAGCCTGCCCCTTGTGTTGTGGTGACCCCATGGCAGCTCATGGCGCTCTCCTCATCCCCGTGTGTGTGCGTGTGCCTGTGTGCAGTGTGTACTGCAAGAACGTGCACACCATTGAGCTGCTCGCCCGCACCTCCTCCCACCGCCCCAACGTCCTCTCTGCTGCTGCCCCCACGACTCCCCACCACGCGCCCCCGCCAGTGCCCCTGGTGCCGCCGCCCTTGGCGTTCATTGAGCTGCGCTGCCTCTGGTACCTCACCGCCAGCTTCCGCGCCGTGCGCTCGTTCGCGTGCGTGTGCCCCGGCGCGCTGTCGCGCCCGTCCATCTTCCTCATGGTCATCGCGTGGCGCCGCACCCTCGCGTCCCTCGCGCTGCACATGGGGCGCCTGGCGCTGCTGGACCTGCTGCCGCTTGCCCAGTGCGCCCACCTCACCACCCTGCACCTCGTGGGCGGCTGCCTGCATGGGGTGGGCGCAGCCGTGCTGGGGAGGGCGGCGGATGGCAAGGGGGGGATGAGGGAGACTTGGGAGGGAGTGACGGGTGTGGAGAGAAGAGAGGCAGGGGGGTTGAGGGACGGATGGAGTGCAGCAGAGAGGGCTGCGGTGCATGAGGAAGCAGCAAGGGGGGGAGCAGCGGCGTGTGCAGCACCACCGTCCGCAGCCGGACCGCCTGAGGCAGGTTTCACGCTTTCTAGGCCATCCCCCCTCCACCGCTCGACCGCCCCGGGCGCAGGCGGCCATTGCCAGTATCCGGCGGTGCTCCATCCCAGTGTGCGCATGCTCACCGTGGAGTGCACAGCACACGAGGTGTGCGACATTGCGGCGCTGGCCGCCATGCTGCCGGCGCTGCAGCGCCTCGTGGTGAAGAACGGCGGCCATGGCACAGCAAGGCCACCTGGCGCCATACACCACTGCGCTCACTGTGGCGTGACTTGGGGCTTGGGCAGCAGTGCAGGGCGGCAGGGAGGGCGAGCGTACGTGGAGGAAATGATGGCGGTGAGGGCACAGCTGAGGGCGAGGGGGGTCACAATGGACATGCAAGTGTGAGAGGTGGCAGGTGGGATGAAGCGTGCGCGCATGACCTTTGTGCTTCATCCACCACCTGCTGCAAGGCATGGCGCCTCATGTACAGGCTACACAGCAACTAGATGGGCAGTTAGTGAACCCTCGGAGGACCTAATGCCATGGTCGATTTAGCAACAGAAGAAAGATTTTGAACACTCACGCCATTCTGCTTCACGTTTAGTATTTAAGCATGTTGGTGATGCAAGCACAACAGTTTAAAAATCCCACTACAACCTAGCACCCTAATTACAATTGGAGGCAAATGCGTGCAGTTACAGCAACGCACTGACTCGTTCATTGGCAGAGAGCACAGCGTATGGCATGCTGCAGCTCATGCGCGAGGGAGAGGCAGTGACAGAGCTGACACACGCAGGCAGGACGGGGAGGAAAATATAAGGCACCAGGGAGGATAGGAAGGGCGGGCGGGTGGCTGGCAAAAAGGGGATGCCACTAGGGGAGGGAGGGTGAGAAGGAAAGGGGGCGAAAGCGAGAAGCGAGGCGGCATCAGTATCCCCCAGGAGGGTACTGGTATGGGTTAGGGGGGGGCATGGCCTGCGGGGGATGGGAGCCATATGCCTGGGGATGGTACCCGCCACTCCACTGCCCCTGCCCCCCCTGCTGCGCTGCTGCCTGCCCATACACCGGGGCGGGCTGTCCGGATGAATAATAGCCGCCATGCGGCGCTGCTGCCTGCTGCTGTGGTGGCGGCATGTAGTAAGGGGCGGGGGCAGCGCCAGCAGGGGGGGGTGCTGCTTGGCTGTAGTAACCCATTTGCTGCTGTGGTGGTTGCTGCTGCTGCTGTGGTGGTGGCACTGCATGCTGTGGGGCTTGCATGGCAGGGGCCGCATAAGGCGCTGCAGTGGCGGCAGGTTGCTGCAGAGGCGGCGGGTGCTGCGGGTTCTGGTTGTTGAAGAATGGCAGGTGCTGCTGCAGGAACTGCAGAGGCCCGCCTCCTCCCTTGGGGCTCACGGGCCGGCCCTGGCCCTGCGCTGCTGCCTGTGGCCCTGGGTATGGCTCCGGGGCTCTTCCCCCTGCTACCGCTGCTGCTTGTGCTGGGGGCGCTGCTGCCCGTGGCGGGGCAGTGGCGGGTGGGGGGGCTTGGTCACGCAGGGAGAGGCCGGTGAGGTGGCGCTGCAGGTCGGCGATGAGGTCCGCCTTCTGCATGCTGCGCGTCATCACAAAGTCGCTGCACTGCTGCTTCAGCGCCGTTATCGCATCCTGCCACGGAAGGGGGGCGAGGAGGGGGGGAAGGGGCACGCGAAGGGGCGGTGCTTCTTAAGCACAGGGAGGAGCCATGAGCTGGGGGAAGGAGCGGGCAGGCGAGCATGCATGCACGGCATGAGACGGGGGGGGGAGGGGGGGGCATGAGTGGCGGCACCTGCAGGGCGACGTAGAACTTGAGCCCCTCGTTGATGTTGGCGCGCAGCTCCTGGTACTTGCTCACCGCCGCCTCCATGCGCTTCACACTCCGCGCCACCTCCGCTGCTCACATGCTTTCACTCACTCACTCACTCACACGCATACGCACGCACGCACGCACGCGCGCGCACACACACACACACACACATGCACGCACACACACACACACACACACACACACACACACACACACACACACACACACACACATGCACGCACACACACGAATGCGTGTACACACACAGAAGGGGAAGGTGCAACGAGGCGAGAATGTGTTAGGGAGCACGGGTACAGGGCACGGGTGGGAGCAGTGCGACGAGGTGCATGGGGTGACTCGTGGGAGCAAAAGCTCCCACACAGCGAGCCCGGCAACGAGGGGGCTGCGGGAGGGAGGCGATGTGGGGACGGCGGGAGAAGAGAGGGAAATTGGGGGGGGGGATGAAGGGAGTGCCAGTTGTGAGGAGAGGAGCGCTGAGGTATTGTGAGGCACGGGCAGCGAGGGCCATGAGAGCGGCAGGGGGGAGGCGGCGGAGTGGGTGGGGAGTTGAGTGGGCGCACGGCGGCACACACCTTTCCACTCAGGGATGTTGAATGTCTGCGAGAATAGCTGGTACTGCGCCTGCATGGGGTCATGGGTCATCGCCCGCACACACAGGGTGATGGGCGGCACACACAGGGTAATGGGCGGCACACACAGGGTGATGGGCGGCACACACAGGGTGATGGGCAGCACACACAGGGTGATGGGTGGCACACAGGATAGGAAAGCAAGAGAAGCGAGAACTAGTAGAGAGAGCCCTCAGGTGCATTTACTCGCACCACACACCACTTCCCCTTGTACCCTCGCTCACTCTCCAACCCCCCTTGCCCTCAACTCCCTCCTTTGCGCATTGCAGTCTCCCATATCCCGTCCCCCTCTGACCCCCTACACCCCACCCCACCTCGAGCTGCTGCATGGCCTTGCGCTGCTGGGCGATGTTGGCGTCCACCTGCTGGCACAGCGGGTCGTACTTGGCGACCTCGCGCTTGAACAGCTCGTCCTGCGAGCCGGGCGCGTTCATGAGCTGCGCCAGGATGTTGTCGCGTGCCTTCATCTCCCGCAGCCCCTCCTCCACCCCCGCGCGCTGCGCCCCCACGCGCTCCAGCTCCGCCTGCCCGCGCCCAGGGAGGTGCAGTGGGGGGGAGCGGCAGGCGAGGCGGTGCAGCGAGCGCGCGTGAAGCAAATGTGAAGCGGAAGGACGGGGGCAGAGGGGAAAGAGGGTTGATGGAGCGAGTGAGAGCGAGGAGAGCAGGATGAAGGGAGGGAGCGACGAGGAGAGAGAAGGCAGCACGCAAGACAACAATGCAGAGAGACACAGCACGCGGGGGGGGGGGGGGGAAGAGGCACAGAGATGTGTGAACAGAGAAGGGGGCAGAGGGGGGGTAGCAGGTTGGAGGCGAGGCGAGGCGAGGCGAGGCGAGGGGGTCGTACGAGGAGTTGTCGGATGGTGGCGACGAGGGCGTGGTCATCGCCATGCACCGCCACGATGGGGCGAGAGATGCGCGGCAAGGCGTCCTCCACCTGCACCCATGCACGCCACGCCACATGCCATGCCCCATGCCATGCCACATGCCATGCCACATGCCATACCACATGCCATGCCCCATGCCATGCCACATGCCATGCCACATTCCATGCCCCATGCCATGCCACATGCCATGCCACATGCCATGCCACATGCCATGCAGTGCCGTGAAGAGCTGCTGAATGGAATGGAGTGCGCATCAGGCAGCTGATGCGCCTTTCCGCCTTGCCCGCTTAGCCCCTCAGCACCACGGCATTCCTTCCTACCTCCTCTTTACCACATGCATACTACCTTTCCCAACCGACTCAGAACCCTACCAACCTCCTCCCCCCCATCCGCTCCCCAAACCGCGCACCTTGCTGTGGCCCGCGCACCTTGCTGTGGCCCGCGCACCTTGCTGTGGCCCGCGCACCTTGCTGTGCCCCAGCGCGCCGAGCATGTCGGAGCAGTCGCGGAGGTCCCTCTCGATGCGCACGTCGCTCTCCTTCGCCTGCTTCAGGTTCCCTGCGAACGCCGTCGCGCGCTCCTTGAGGCTCTTGGTCAGCGTGCTGCTCTGCGGCCGCGCCCACCGCGTGCCGAACTGCGCCCTGAGCGCGGCGTCGTCCGCGCTCTCGAGCTGCAGCGTCTCCTCCGCGGCCACGAGCAGCTCCTCGTTCACGCGCCGCAGGTCCTGCAGCTGCGCCATCTCCGCCGGCAGCCCCGCGGGCCCGCCGCTCACGTGCACGGCCTCCACGTCGTCGCGCAGCTTGGCGGGCACGAAGGGTGCGAGGTCGCCGTCCAGCGCCAGCAGCACGTCCGGCAGCCCCAGCTCGCGCAGGCGCGCCTTCGCCTCCTCGCTCTCGCGCTCCATGCGCTCCACCTGGGGGGGGGGAGGAGGGGGAGGAGGGGAGCAATGAGGGGGGTGGTTAGGACGGGGGAGAGGGCAGAGATCATGGGAGGATGGGAAGCCATAGGAGGCTGAAGTTGAGCGAGGGGAGAGGGCACGGGAGGGGGAGACGAGCGCGGGGGGGGTGGGAGCGGGACCTGCGTGCGGATGATGCCGTCGACCATGTCAGTGTACCGCGACAGCTCCTTGGCGCTGCCGTCCGGCACCAGCCCGGCCAGCAGCCGCTCGCCCGTCGCGTCCAGCAGGGGCGCAAGCGGCGTGGCGGCGACGAGCGCGGCGGCGGCGATGGGCGGCAGGGAGGCGTAGGCGGGCACGCGGTAGAGGTAGACGCGGTCGTTCTCCGCCTCGGCCTTGGCGAGGTTGGCCAGCACGTGCCCCTCGAGCTTGATGACGGCGTCCACCAGCGGCTGCATCACGCCCTTGCTGCCCTTGCGCGCCTCCGCCAGCAGCGCCTTGGCGTGCGTCAGCCGCGCGATCTCCTCCGCCACCTCCTCCTTCGCGTGCAGGTCCAGCGCGGCGCGGTAGAGCGCCTCGGCGTGGAAGTGGCGCGCCTTGAAGAGCACGTTGGCCACCCACTGCCGGTCGAAGTGCGCCGACAGCGGCGGCAGCAGCAGCGCCGCGTGCGCCTCCTCGTAGAAGAGCGCCACCTGGGGGGAGGCGCGGTGACATTGGAGGGGGGGGACGACATGGGGGGAAATGACGAGAAGAGAAGCGGGTGGGCGGGGGAAGAGGAGGGTGAGAGCAAGGGTTGTGCGAGGCGGTGCAGATTGCGCGGCGCAAGGTAGCGCCGCTGCCACGCCCCACTCCATGCTGCCACTGCTCTCGTGCCGCGCGCACCTGCTGCGCGATGCGCGCGCAGATCTGGTTGGGTTTGCCCTCGCCGAGCGCCTTCTCGTAGAAGCACTCCTGCGCCTGCCCCAGCATCAGCCGCTCCAGCATGCCCGCCGTCTCGCCCGCGATGTCCGTCGTGCACGTGCCGCCGCCCGCCAGCGCCTTGCCGCTGATGTGGTCGCGCAGGTGCGCGAACGCGCCCGCCGCCGCCTGGAAGGCGTTGCACGCCGCCTTGAGGCCGGCGGCCGTGGAGCGGTCCGCCGCCAGGGCCATCTGCGAGAGCGTGGCGGCGATGTTGAACGCGATGGCCGCGCGCTCGAAGTGGATGTTCGTCTGCGACGCCTGGGGACCGCAGGGGAAGGGGAGCGCGGGGGGAAGGGAAGAACGGCTGTTGGTGGCAGGACATGCGAGTGTGAGCCAACGCTGGAATCACGGCCACCAGCGGCGAGGAGCGGCGTGCAGGGCGTGCGCGTACCTTCTTGGAGCTGGCGAAGGCGTCGAACCACGTGAAGGCGAGCTGGTTGAGGTGCGGCGTCTCGGGCGCGATGGGGAAGCGCGACGTCATCACGGTCAGCGCGCGCATGTACTTGAGCAGCACGTCGCGCCGCGCCTCCAACGACTCGCTGCTGCCCTTCTCTATCTCGCGCCGCCACGCCTGCACCAACTGGGGGGAGGGAAGGACGTAGGGGGGCAGACGGAAGAGGGGGTGTGCGACGGGTGGTGTGGCGAGGAGCGGGCCGGGTAACGGGCCGGCAGGGAAGCTCAGGTAGGGGCGAGTGGAGAAGGGGAGGCGAAGGTGCGAGGCCGGGCATGGAATGCAGCGAGCGGAGGAGGGCGCGAGCGGGGGAGAGCGCACGGGGCGGACCTGCAGGTCGTCGTCGGCGTCGGTGGCGTGGCGGTCGGAGTAGTGCGAGCGGATGTACGCCTTGAGCGGGCGATGCAGGTCCAGCGGCACGGCGCGCTTGCAGTGCACCGCCAGCATCACGTTCATCGTCACCGACGCGCCCGACATGCTGCCCGCCCCGCCCAACCACACGATCGCCCTCCCGCCCCTTGTGGCCCCTCGTGCTACTGTGCGTGACCGCACGGCACTCGATTCCTCCTCACTTTGCGCCGCGAAAGTGACAAGCTGTGGAGGAGAGACGAAACGAGGGAAGCGCGATGAAGGGAAACAGGGCCGGTCGAGGCGCGCACGAGACGAGGGAGGGAATACGCAGCCGCCGAGAGGAGGCGAATCCGGTGCCCCGATGGATGCAAACGGCGACGATGAGGTGAAATCGACGAGACGGCACGCGAGGGGTCCGAAAGCAAAATGAGAAGGACGCAAGGATGCGCAAGTTGCGAGTAAACGGACGCTGTTATGCGCGAGCTCCTTACCTAATTCGATCAATCCCACGGAGCGAAAGCAGCTCTAAAAATCTCTGCCCGCAACTTGCCGCCGCCCGCGGAACACGGCGCGCACAGGAACAAGTACGGAGAACAACGCGCAAGGTCCGTCAGATCCGAGAGCTGGTGGTGCCACCTAATCTGAATCCCCCAATACGGGCTGCCGTGCTGGCGTGTGGAAAGGGGAGGCAGCGGGAGTGAGAAATGGAGGGGCGAGGGGAGGGAGGAGCTTCTTGCTGCGTTCTTGTGGGCCCTGCGATGCACGCAAGACAGGAGACATGCCCTGGGAGGGTGGGAGGCACCCTGCCCTGCGAAGGCAGTGACAGCATGTGGGGGAAGGGGAGTGCCTGACAGAAGAAGGTGCGATATCACTCAACACAGATGACTGGCAACAGAGTATATTTCAACGAATAAATGCATCTCTATCTTTTCATTCAACCACATAGAAAATGTTGTTGAGAAACAATGCGATTTAGGTTGTCACAAGCAGTGGAGTAAGGGAATTCCAGTGCATAAATCGTCGAACAAGCTTTAACAATACGGGCTATAGAGGATGAATTTGCCACCCATCCAAGTAGTTACATAACTTGAGTGAGCGAGCATGTATTATGCCTTGTTTTGGTGTCAATGAGCCACATGCCTCGTGGAAGAGATGTATCAATGAGTTGGAATTTGGAAATCAATGAGTCTTGGAGCTGATCATTTCAACAAGGGCCCTAAGAAGAAAGGGATGCTCAAGGCAAACCTCATGTTTTAAAAAGAGACGACTATCACACATTCCATCAATGCTTAACGTATCCCAAGGCCATATCCCAAGACTTGCCTTGACGGCTAGGCTGAGGCTGCCTAGCGGCTGGCTAAGTCCTGCTGGCTCTCCTACACACACAGCGTTCGTGCCGCTGCTAACAATCCGAGCCATGCCTTGTCAACTCGAGAAGTCGCTGTCACGTCAGGGTTTCTGCTCCGGAGTGTCAGTCCCGGGACAGTGTCAGGGCTAAGGGGGAAAACGAGGCTCAACGGGTCAGAAGGTGCGCGTGAGGGCTGCACTGCCACAAGGTGTGGGCGACGATGCTGTCGCCCCTAAAGAGTATCCGCATGCAGCAGCCTTGCTGGAGTTGGTTGTTAAGCGTCTGTGATAATGCTGTCGGCCATAAATGCTGCGCCGGTGGACTGGACGGCGACCACGACCTGATTTCTGAAGCGATGCTTCCGTTGCCGCCCGCACGACTCCGCCGTGTCCATGCCCCTCTTCCGCCCAAAGGCTCTGACAAGCTCCTTCTCCGCATCCGTCAACGGGACGACGTTGCGGCTGACCATGCAGATGCTGGAATGGTTGTCGTACAGTATCTTCTGGTTGCAGTTCTTGTCGCACACGTGGGTCGTGTTGCTCGTCAAGCACCTGAACGCAAGGCGAGGGAACGACGAAAGCAAGGGAAACCGAAGGCCTCAGCGCGCGGCGGCGTGACAGCAGTGGAGTCATGGCTCAAGAGGCCTACAGCCGACGACTAGACAGCGGCACGGAGCCCGGGGAGGCCGAAAGGCGTACCTGAAAAGGTTGGCGAAGGCATGCTGAATGGTGCATGTATGCTTGCACTTGTGACGAAGTTGCGGCGACGCGTCAGAGCAGGACGATAGGTAGATGACGTTGGAGTACTCGCACGGTACAATGCTCGAGAACTCTGACACTCGCGACCACTCCATCTTCTGCTTTGCGAATGGTTTGACTGGGTCGCAGGGCACCAGCCTCTGATGAATTGTGGAAACTGGTTTGGACTCAGGCGATAGTCCCTCGCGTCAAAGGCGGACACGAGATATGAAGCAACTAAATACCGATTGCAAGAGCCTCGCAGCTGGGAGAGGACGAACGACAAACTAGCCAGGAGAAAACGAGATTGGTGCTTCAGAAATATGGAGCAGGCTCCAGTCTATGTAACTGCTGCCGCCTCGTTTGTGTGGAGGCGCCGCCAAGGTCGGGAACGGAGATTGGTTCGGAGGGAGATGGAGGAGGAGCAGCGGGGCAAGGAGTGCTGGTTGGGCAGGCGAATGAATGATGGAGGGGAGGCGAGGCAAGGGCGGGGGGGAGGCGACAGGCGCAGCGACGGAAGTCCAGCGTGGCCTGCTCAACCAGGGCTGGCTCCGCGCATTTCGCCTAGACCAGCGAGAGCCACTTCGAAATTTGAATCTCAAAAACCCTTCAGCGCGCCGATGGTCTTGAACAGCAGAGGTGACGTGGACCGCATCTTCAAGAACAAAAAGGGATGCTGCGTGAGCGCGCCGAGTGGGAAACACAAAACCGTATTTTCTTGCGGGGTTACAAGACTTGTTGTCCCTGAAAAACAGGGCGATAGTCGGTGCTACTTCATACAGTCGGAATCCGACTGTCGCTGCTGGAGTTCCCCACATTTTGGCTGACATGCGAGAGCGGGAGTATCGCTGTGGCCAGAGTGGTGGGGAAGGGATCAGTTCTGGCGTAAAAACACACGCCGCCCTTCTGGAACGCTAAAAAACTGGAGATTCCGTGCCATTATAGCATGTGCCCATTATTACAACAGCATGAGATGAAATGCCTAAGTGAAGGAAGTCTTTTGACATTGTAGATTTAGCCACATCTTTATAATTTTGATCACTTCTTGTGGAAGTAATATTCCCTTAGGGATTTACCCAAGGACCAGGATCCTGTGGAAGACTTAGAGATACTTGTATGGTAAGATTAGAATATTATGGGGAATTCCTAAGAACCATGATCAGAATCAAGTTGGATCAGAAACATGCATAACTGTGCGGTGCTAGTGTTCGAAACGCATTTCAGTGCTGTTTATTTTTGTTACGCCCATATTTGTGTCAACTTATACATATGATGTTATAAAGAAGTTATAGACTAGACTGGTGTAAGTTCTTATCTTAGTGTGTGTTGTCAACTTATACATGTCATGCATGTAGATGTTATAGGCTGGGATCGGTGTGTGTTCTTAGGGAGTACAACCCAATAGCTATATGTTCCTTGTTTAAAATTCTAGTCATTCATTATCGTATTCTAACATGGTATCGAGCAGGTTAGGTCCACCCGCCCGCTTCCGCCCGCGCCCTAGCCCCCCCCCCCCCCCTACCTACCTAGCCCGTCCTGGCCCCGTCGCGCCCTCCAGGCCCCGTAGCGCCCTCCTGGCCCCCGTCGCGCCCTCCACGTAGCGCCCTCCTAGCCCCCGTCGCGCCCTCCAGGCCCCGTCCGGCCCTCCTGGCCCCCGTCGCGCCCTCCAAGCCCCCGTCGCGCCCTCCTGGCCCCCGTCGCGCCCTCCCAGCCTTGTAGCGCCCTCCTGGCCCCCGTCGCGCCCTCCAGGCCCCGTAGCGCCCTCCTAGCCCCCCCTCGCGCCATCCAGGCCCCGTACGGCCCTCCTGCCCCCCGTCTCGCCCTCCAGGCCCCCGTCGCGCCCTCCTGGCCCCCATCGCGCCCTCCCAGCCCCGCAACGCCCTCTCGGCCCCTGTAGCGCCCGCCTGGCCCCATCGCGCCCGCCTAGCCCCGTCGCGCCTGCCTGGCCTAGCCGCGCCCGCCTGGCCCCGTCGCGCCCGCCTGACCCCGTCTCGCCCGCCTGGCCCTGTCGCGCCCGCCTGGCCCCGTCGCGCCCGCCTGGCCCCGTCGCGCCCGCCTGCCACCGTCGCGCCCGCCTGGCCCTGTCGCGCACGCCTGGCCCAGTCGCGCCCGCCTGGGCCCGTCGCGCCCGCCTCGCCCTGTCGCGCCCGCCTGGCCCTGTCGCGCCCGCCTGGACCCATCGCGCCCGCCTAGCCCCGTCGCGCCTGCCTGGCCCCGTCGCGCCCGCCTGGCCCCACCGCGCTCCGGCCCCTCCTAGCTGGCCGGGTCCCTTCCTAGTGCCGCCCGGCCCCTCCTAGCGCTGGCCCGGTCACTCCCAGCGCCAGCCCGGCCCCTCCTACTGCCCGCCCGGCCTCTCCTCCTCCCTACTTGGCCTGCAGTGCCATCTCGGGCCCTGTCTCCTCTACTCGTCCGCTCGGAGGCGCCTCGCGGCCGCCCTGCTGGAGAGCGCTGCCGCTGTGTCCCCGTGCCGCTGTGTTCGTGTGGGGCTGTGCAGCTGTGTTGTTGTGGAGCTGTGTCACTGACCCTGCACGATGGCTGACTTCGTGCTCCACCTGGACGCTGAGGGCCACGCGGTTGACTTCGCCGCCTGGCTCTCCGATCTCCGACGCCACCTTACAGGTCAGCGCCAGGATGGCCACTCCTTAGTTGTCCATGTCGATGGCTTGCTCCCCCGCCCTCCTGCCCTTGCTCCCCTCCCTGCTGATCCCTCCTCTGATGACCGTGAGGCCTTCTCTACTGGTGCGCTTGCCTGTGCGGTCTGGGGCTCCCGCAATGCAGTAGCTCAGGTTGCTATTAGTCACGCCCTCCCGGTGTCTGAGCGCTCGCATTTTGCTACGGTTGATTCGGCCAAAGCATATTTAGACGCCGTTGTTGCTCGCTATTCCACCCCTGCATCCGCTTCTGCCGGCCGCTTGCCCTTCCCGATGCTGATCCCAAACCTTGCTGCCTTCCCTACTGTCGCAGATTTTGCCACTCACTTGCGTGCCCTAGAGTCCCGCTATCGCACTGCCAGCACTGCTGCCCAGCTCGCTACGCTCCCCCCCCCGTTCTGCATGACGCTCTATTTTATCGCCATGCGCCTGCCGGACCACCTAACTAGTGCTCGCGACCACTTCCTTAGCCAGCACCCAGGTGACCTCACTCTCACCGCCTTTGTCGACACCCTCACCGAGATCGAGACTCGCCAGCGCACTATCGCTCAGTCGAGCGGTGCACCGGCTGTCTCTATCTTTGTCGCCTGTGCCCCCTCTCAGTGCACGTTTACTGACGTTTCAGCTGCGGTCGCCTCTGCGACCACCCTTACCGAGACTGCTGCTATGGTCCACCAGGTGGACGGTGGCCGTGGCCGCCAGGGAGGTCGGGGTGGTGGTGCTGGGGGTGGTGGGAGTGGTAGTGGTGACAGTAGTCCGTCTGAGAGGACTACCACCGGTGGGCAGGAGCAGACGCAGTCCCCTCTGCAGCAGGAGCAGCCCCAGCAGCAGTCGCCGTCCCAGCAGCAGCCGCCCTAGCCGTAGGCCCGTCTCCCGCCTGGTTGGCTCGTCACCTCCGGCGGTGGTGGCCGTGGTGGTGGCCTGCGCAGCTCGGCGTCTAGTGCTATGACCTGCCAGTACCAGCTTCAGACCTGGCCTCTCCGCGGCACTCTGTGTCGCCGCCCGCACCCGACCGCCCGCTGTTTCCGCCGCCTCGACGATCTCTTTCGTTGTCGCTTTGGCCTGGCCCCGGACCTCCCCGACTGGCACAGCCTGCTCCGCCAGGGCGTGCCGATCTTTGAGTTAGACATGGATCAGATACGTGCTGCTTTGCATGCCTTGTATTCTGACGCTTCTAGTGTTGCTGGATCTTATTACCCTGTGTACTCTAGCTTAGGTGTCTCACCCTTGTGTAGCTTAGCCTCCCCTGCTGCGTCAGGCGTAGGACTGCCTAGTTTGCCTAGCCCAGTCTCTGCACCGACTCCGTTCCCGGCCTCTGCCACTGCTTCGCTGTCCTCCACTCTCGACTCCGGTGCTTCTGCCTGCTTCTTCCGCGACCGTTCCACACTCACGTCGCTTGCTGCGCCTGCTGTTGTCTCTCTCGCTGACCCCTCTGCAGGTCCTGTCGTCGCTCACAGCTCCACGTCCCTTCCCTGTCCAGCAGTTCCCTCAGGCTGCCTTACAGGCCTCCACGTTCCCTCGTTCTCGAGGAACCTGGTTGGTGTCAGCTATCTTCAGGACCTCGGCGTCACCACCACGTTCCCTGGGCACGAGCGGTTCACTGTCTCATCTGAGGCTGTCTCAGGTTCCCCCTTGCGACGTTCCCCCGGGACCCGGTGTCCGGTCTATTCACCCTAAACACCGCTTCCCCCCCAGTTGGTGCGTCCTCCCAGGTCGCTGCAGCTTGCTCGTGTCGGTCCCTCACTCACCCGTCCCTTTTGTGGCACCACCGCCTAGGTCACCCTGCTCTCCCACGTCTGCGTCACATGTCTCAGCACGGTCTTGTCTTAGGCCTCCCCGCGTTGCTCCCTGCCCTTCCCCCCTCGACTGCGCCACCGTGCACGCCTTGCGTCGAGGGCCGGCTCCGCCGTGCCCCACACTCCTCCTCCCTGCGCCCGGCTACTGCCCCCCTTCAGACCCTGCACCTGGACGTTTGGGGCCCTGCCCCCGTCCCCGGACCGCGTGGTGAGCGCTACTTCCTTGTGCTCGTTGACGACTACACGCGCTACACCACGGTGTTTCCACTGGAGCGGAAGGCCGACATGCCCGACGTTCTTCTACCGTGGGTTGTAGCAACGCGTCTTCCCCGCGGTCTCCCCGTGTTGTGTCTCCACTTCGACCGTGGCGGCGAGTTTGCCTCTGGTCGGCTTGGCCAGTTCTGTCGTGTGGAGGGCATCACCTAGTCGTACACCTTGCCGGACTCGCCAGAGCAAAATGGGGTTGCTGAGCACCGCATCGGCTTGGTCATGGAGGTTGCTCGTACCTCCATGATTCATACCGATGCCCCCCATTTTCTGTGGACGTTCGCTGTTCGCTACGCTGCTCACCAGCTTAACTTGTGGCCGCGCTCCCAGCGGCCGCCAGTTTCGCCGACCCTCCTTTGGACCGGGTCCGCTGGTGACGTGTCTGCGTTCCACATCTGGGGCTGCCTTGCTCACCTTTGTGCCTCTGGCACGGACAAGCTCACTGCCCACACTGTCCCCTGTGTCTTCCTCGGTTTCCCACTGGACTCGTCTGACTGGCTATTCTACCACCCGCCGTCTCACCGCTTCCTCCACTCTCGTGACGTCACCTTTGACGAGTCCGTCTCCTTCTACCGCCGCTTCCCTCACCGAGGTCTCCCAGTT